AGCGCATAACAGCACTGGCTTATCTTGTGCATCATTCACCCCATATAATTGAAGGACTCCATGATCTTCGCAGTGGGTGTACACAACTTCCATCTTGCCGCTGTCACCGGCAGCCCAAACCTTCACCGTTCCATCCAAGGAGCAAGACAAAAGATAATTATCCCAGTATAAGAGAGACATAACGACCGATGAATGGGCAGTGAGGGTCTCGATGCACCGCAATGTAGTAAGATCCCAGACCCTTATGGTGCTATCCATACAACCGGAGTAAAGCCTTCCACCTCTGATGACTAACGAGACCACAGAGCGTTGATGGCCCTTGAGAGGAACTGCCGGTTCAAAGCTGTTTTCTTGGTCATTTAGCTTCCAAGCCAGTATGCATCCGTCCTGAGTTGCGGCGAACAAACTTTCATTGTCAAATGCCAATGCATACACTCGTCCGACGGGGGATTTACCATCCGAGGCTTTGAGGGCTAGATCAGTGAATGTCTTCGTATTCCAAGCTCTGACAGCATTGTTAACGCCCACAAAAATCCATGGACCCTCGCTGATCATGCAGCCAACCTCGCTTTCCAAATTAACAGTATGAACACATCGGCCACTATGGCAATCCCAAATTCGAACAGTGTTATCTTGGCTCCCAGTGTAGAGCTTATCAGAACCCCATGGCAACACAATTCCAGTAATAACCTGCAAAGATCAACGCACAACAGATCTTTAAACTAAACGGAACCGAATTTGGAAATTTAGAAAAAAAACAGAAAGAGAAAGGTCTGGTCTTTGAACCTTTACAAGAAAATATCGACCAAGACTGAAAATTTCAGAAAAGAATGAGAAACTACCCATCCTTCAACACTTAACCCAAAAAAAAAAAAAAAAAAATACAAGAATGAGAATTTCAGAAAACAAAGAGGAAAAGGTCCCAACTTTTTAAGTCTTATTAAGAGGCTAAAAACAAAGAAATAAAATCGAAAATTTGATTAAAAAGAAACATGAAAAGGTCTCGCTAAACATAGAGAAGGTAAAACAAGTGCTAGAAAAGGAAATTTAAAGGAAAAGGAACAAAAGATTTCACCTTTTGGTGGGACGGCAGAGCTGTAAGCAGAGAGAAGCTGTCACCGGTGAACCAAGAATGCAACGACTTGCACTCGTCGCCGAGACCACAGCTTGATCCGACGATGAAATCTTTGCACAGCTTATTAACCTGCGACGTGGTCTGATCCTTGTCCGCGTCCAGTCTGGGGAGATCAGAATCCCTTTTGCCCGCGGTCTTAGGGTTTCTCCAGACGGAAGCCCTCTTCTTGGAGGCGACATCGAGAGATCGAGGGAGCTCTCCATGGAGGTAAGGGCAATTGCGGCGATTGCAGCGGCCAGCCTCCCAATAGATGCAGACTTTGTTGTGACGGCGGCCGACGGCGGAGGGAAGAGGGCCCAAACGCTGGTGTATTGGCTTGATGCCATAACCAGTCGCCCGTTCGAACTCCATAGAGCTGGATCGAACCAAACCCTAGAAACTGAAAAGATTAGGTTTTGACTGGAGATTAGGAGGTTAATGGTGGGGGGAGGCGGCGGGGCGCGAGAGTAATCGGAGAGTTTTTGGGCGTCGTAGGTGCTCGCGCGAAGTTTTAAATAGCTGTGAGATCAGATCCCGTGTCTTCAGAGACACGTGTCCCGATCTGATTCTCCATAAGGGACACGCGTCGAGATCTCGTAGCCACATACCCGTTGTCTCGGGAGCTTGGCGTGAATCTGACGCTGTTATCAAGTACCTGCTAATATGCTAGAAATATATTATTTTGGGAAACTAATTATGATCTAAATTTATAGGGTGGTTGTCTGAAATGCTAAAAAAAATTTTAGAACACATGCTCTGTGATTTCTAGTGTTTTGTTTGGTTCAACATTATTACAGGAATACAAAGGTATAAATTACATTTTATAAGAATTAAAAATTCATACAAACCACAAATAATTACCAAACTATTTTTTAGAAATAATAAATAAAAACCTATTATTCAAGGAAATGCTACAAAAAGACCCCAATATCCAAAAAGGAATAGGACTCGGCCCTAAGAATCAAGACTTAGTCAGCATGTGCTTGCCCCCACCTCCTAACCCCCAAACCCAAAAAAAAAAGAAACAAATGTGCTTTTATCCCCTTTAGGTGTCACATCAGCGGAGAGAGAAAACTACTTATTTATCCCCATTCTATATTCATTTAATGGCATGTCACCTCCTCATTTTCTTACTCATTTGTATTAACCATCACATTCAAGTAAAAAATCTACTACTTCCCTCTTCTTCTGTCTAGAAGCTTTATGCAAATTTTCAAATGATTATTTGAAATTTTTAGAACTTCTTTCGTGTGTGTGGGATGAGGGGCGCGCAGGAGGTTCTGCAGCTTTTAGGAAGTTATATGAAAATTTTGAAACTTTTTTGGGGCGGGGGTTTTCTTTTTGGAGGTTAATTTGAATTCTTGAAAATTTCTAGGGGATTTTCTACTACTTTTAAGCAATTATGTACAATTTTTAAATTTTTTTGAGGGGTTTGCTTCAAATTTTCATGGGTCATTTATGATAGGAGATAAATAATACAAAGTTATAAGTACACAACTATTAAGTTATACTATAGTATAGATGTCGAACCCACGAGAAAGATGTGTGTTTGAAAATTCTAAATTTGGTCCAAAAAAGAGTGGATAAAAAAATGAAAGTGAAAGTGTAGAGATGTAGATAGAGATTTATCACAAAAATAAAAAAAATAAAACAAGAAGGAAGAAAGACTGAAGGAGGATACAAATAAAAGGAATACAAAGATAAAACTAAGTGAAACGAAATCGAAATAAGAAAAGGGAAGGTAGTAGGAAAAAGAGAAACATCAACAAAATAAAACCAAGAAGAGGAAAATCAAGTAACAAGACTTAGTGACATGTGTGTGTGTTGACCAAATTTAGGAGGTGGAC